AATACAATAACAGTGTTTAAGATTGTAATGACAGAGTACAGTAACTGCAGTGACACTGGCAGGCAGTTCGCTTAAGGTGCCCTTTCTTCTCCATATCATAAAAGCAATGCAGAAACAAAGCTCTCAAGACAAAATCCCTCATGTTCTTACCACCTGTTCACCAGTACCATCCTGTCCAAGGAAGAGGAAACACGAGCGGGATCCCTTACCTCCCTACAGACAGCTGCGATCTGCCCTTCGTCCATACAAAACCGGGTAACAACATCACTTAAACAGCCTCCAGCCATGTATTCCATCACCACCCAGAGCTTGTCACCGACCAGGTAGCTGAAAGAAGAAAACAGGGGCACTGAGATGAACAGGCACAGCTAAATTACCTCATGGAAAAGACTGCCAGTGGATGTTGTTTCCAGGTCATTTTAAATGAAGACAGAATAAAATGACTAGACTTTCCTTCTAGGCTATACAGTACTTAGAATCTGTGCAGCCTACATGAGAAAGGCATGCAAGTGAAAAATCAGATGTCTTAGATGGCAAGCAAGGGAAAAATGCAGTTTACTAACAGTGAAGATAAATCTGGAACCAGGACATCACACATCATCTGGTTCATCATCTTAACGCATCAATCCCAGGATTAACTCCAGACACAAGGCAACACAACTTTCGTAGATGTCCATGGTAGGCGGGGGTGTACCACTGAGGACAGAAGTTGGTCAACAGTTTGGAAAACCTTACAGAAAATACATGCAGAGACAGGAAAAACAATTTAAAAACTGGCAAATGACGTGTTTCTCGAAACAAGAACCTAGTCTTCCTGGCAACCACAGTAATGGAAAATAGTGGGAACAGCCCAACGGAAATAATTTCTACGATGGTTTACCAGCACTTATCACAGGACACAGAAAATATGTTCAACTTAGAAAAAAAACCAACAACAAAACCAACAAGACAACATGGAGGTAGTGAACTCACAGGCTGTTGTTTTAGCAAGCTATGGCTGATGCATATTTTTGAAAACAGTCTTCAAACTATATATGCCAGAAAAGGTTAATGCAGACAAAACACGATCTTCTCCCATAAATTGTAGATGAGTAGACAAAAAAAGAGGTCAATTTTCTGCCAGAGACCAGAAGTTTTTTTAATCTTTGGTTTGCAGTACGTAAATGAACATCCACGCGATAGTACCAGAACTACTCACCTGTCTAAATAGTTAACAATATTTGGGTTCCTATTTTCCCTCATCACTAGGCTTTCATTAATGACTTGTTCCTTTTTGCACTGCTGTTGGAGATTAATTTGTTTTATGGCCACCTAAAATGACATTGAAAACCATCAGTTGGAGCAGTCTGTTGCACGAGAGCAGAAGAAACATGGAGGGAGTGTTTTTGGCATGACGTAGCAGAGCTCTGCCAAGCTGTCTTGTTATTAGACATAAGAGGTCAGTAACTCATACTACAACGCCCTATTTCTCTGCTAGCTTGGGTGCTGCTTACAGGACACATGGCCATACACATTTTGCCTTGTAAATCCATAAAAATGGTCTTTAAACTCTCAGTCACAAATCTCTAACAGCACTCTCTGGACCTACGTTCTTTTCAAATGGCCTTAGTGTATCACCACTGTTATTATTCATGCAAGTTTTGCAAGCAGGAAGTGATTTTGTTGCTGTGAAAACACAAAACCAGCTGATAAAGCTTTAGCAATCCTGTGATTTTTGATCATTATTTCAGCAACTGCTGTTATTCTTGACTGCATAACTGAAAGAAAACACAAACGTACATTATGTAGCAAATGCCGTACTAAAAAGATTACTAAGGTTACACAAAAAAATACAACCCTAGCACTTCCTAACGCCTTGAATGTTGATTTTGCAACTCTAAATGTCATTCTTTAGCACAGTTTAGATTTGCAATTATTTTCTGGGTTGAAAAACAATAATCCATTCATCGGTATTTGTATGGATACACCCAGGGTCATAAGCAGAGCTTAGGGCTTTTTAGATCCCTTGCAGACCTCTGCCCAAGAGCAGCTGTAAAGTCCAGCACTGCAGGTGGATGAGACACTACCCGTGAGATTCAGATGTATTTGCTGACAGCCAGGAATGATAAATCAGAAAGCTGAAGCTGTACCCCAAAGAGCAGCAGGATTCTCTAAGACACCATCTTGTCTGATCATTACTAATATGACCACTTTGCTCTGAATCGCTGCAGCCAGCCTGCCTCTGCCTCATCCTGGCTCCTCCACCCAGTCCCATCTTCCCCCAGGCAGCCACCTTCCCTGCTTTAGCTTTTCGCGCCCGCTTCTGCCAGCCCTGTCCCTCTGGGCTCAGCCCTGCTTCCCTCCCTGCGTTCCAGCTCAGCTTCGGCCAAGGGCTCCTACAAACCCACCCCAGAAGAGCCCCCCTACCTGACACGCGCCTGCTGGGGAGATGAGGCCCTGGGGCTATTTCAAGTCTGCCTGTCTTGGTTTGAAAGACAGGTGCCTACGGAGGAAGGCAGGAGCCTCCCTTGAAA